GAGAACATCCAACGTTACGGTAGCAGAGCAAGATTAGGTGGCACGTTGGCACTCGAAAAACGATAATATCAACAACAATGAACTAAGGTCATCAAAAATGAAAGCAAAAAAAGGCCCAAACTCATCAGCAAACAAAGCTCTTTAAGTAGCATTAAAAATGGAAGTTTACCATGAATCTAAAAGCTGTAAAATAGACTCCTTTTTTGCAAATGTTCAATGACAGGCTCAGAACACCGTTTTCTGACGGACCCACCAATAAATAATCTCTTGATACTTTCAACTCAAAATCATGTGAAGACTATTCCAGCTGCGATGAGAACTGCTTAAAGTAACGTCTTATTAACGAAAGCCACTTGTTTCAATAAATAACGACTGGTGGAATGGAAGGACTGCGAGTCTATGCGCTGATACTGTGGAAGCGCAAAGGGAGTGCAAAGGCAGCGGTGTATCCAGTCCAACATAGACGAAGGTACCTGTTAAAACGTATGAGGCAAACTTGAGCCCGTTTCCTGGAAAAACGCTGTTGTTTCATATCTATACTTCGCACCTAGTCCTATGCTGCATGACTGGGTGCTAAAACCATGGGGACGTATAATTCATTCTTGGGCGCCGAAAGATAATACTGATCAGTGTGGAGCAATCGGTGTAATCGGTGGGACCACAAAAAATGACGTACAATCGACTACGAATTTAATGCCCTTGATAGGACTTTCGAAAAAGAATCGACTTGTATGCAATATAGGGTAATCTACCTGAGATCGTAACTCATGTACCTAATGTGACGACAGCAAAAGCAAACCTATACGTTCTGACTCGCCCGACTAAAGTACCGACTATAAAAACAATGTCAAACTTAGGCCCTCACTTGTGCTTCCACTGTATTTACAATCAAATAACTTCTGAGTCAAAAAAGAAGTAATTCGAGCAGCAAAGCAGTAGCTATGCAGATACCAAAGAAGTACGGCAGCAGGAGTACATACATACATGTATTTGAAAAGGATATGTTACAGCAAAGAATCACTCAAAGGTAAAGACTGGCGGCAAACACAATGTCTCTCTTGATCAAAGTCATAGCTGTAAGATAAAAAAAGTCCTAACGCGATATATTGTTTTATATTGATCAAGTTATAGCAACGAAACGAATTCATGTTGGCATCAAGATTATTCTACCATGAAGCAATAGAGGCTAAACATGTTTGGCACCCAAATTTAAATAATTTTCTCAACTGCAGTAGTTCATCTACTGAAGATCAGTAAATGAGAGAAGAATTCACAAAACTAATCATAACATCAACTCACCCTTAACGAACTTGTTCTCCAGATCTGCATTTCCCGCTACTTTTGCAGCCTCATGCATTTGCCTTAAGAGTTCTTCTAGCCGTCTCAAACAACGAATGACATTGCCTTCAAAGAGTGGTGTCATTTGACAGAGCTCTGCAAAGGAAACGCCCTGTGCCCAAGAACGCACAACCTCCATCATTTCGCCAGAGAACTTGGCTACATAGTCATCAACGGCACTCTGACCACCTTCAGCAAAGATGTTCCCGTCGCCTTTAATTGCACCTCCCGGTGTCAAAGCCATAGGACCCGGGCGTACGCGGCTCTCTTCTGCCACAGTCGCCAAGTAGCGGGCTTTCGACTATTTAGATGAAACAGATATCTTACTAATTTGGTTTAAGTAAAATTTCTTAGGAAAAAAATATAGTTGAGCAGGTAGCATACTCGAATGACACTAAGGGCAGCTTCCATATCGGGACGCAGCTTGGGTGGCACCTTGGTGCTGCCCTTCTCTGTAACGAAACATGAGAGTGCGCCCGCAATCTGTTCCGCAGAGAGATTACTGGAAAACGGAAAGATGGAACCATGTAAAGATGTTTAAAAAGGAACTGATTCCTACAAAGAACATACCTGAAGAAACCATCTAAGAGCAATTCGGTTAACATTAATTCATCTCCAGAGGAGATCTCACAGGCAATGCGACCTTTTAGGTGAATGACATCATCTTCGGTGCTGAAACCTAGACGGCGTAGCACACGCTTTCGCGAATGCAGTTCGTCCAACTGAAGCAGCGACTCTTTCTGCCTAAGTTCATCATGGGCGGCACGCAACTCCAAGTACTTCTGCCAACAAAACCCCAGCAGGAAAAAAATAGCTTACCACATTGAAGGCTCAACAGCACTAGTATTAGGGAAGCAATTAACATACCCCAATACGTCTTTTATGAGTGTGCAAGAGGTAATCGAGGTCCTTGCGGTTGTAAAGTGGGTTAAGCATAATCCGAGCTTGCAACAAGTGGATGTTCTGAGAGCAACAAAAGTTGTAGCGTAACTAAGACCTTGTAGTGAACATGAATCGAAAGGCCTGCTAAAAGAGCTTCAGGATGTACACAGCAAGTTAGGAAAGCATAACATGAGTTAGAAACAAGTGGAAACGAGTGGCAGCCTATTTTCCTGGCAATAGGCATATCAATAACAAACCACACAAGAGAAACATCTCAAGCAGGTAGTTCGATGCCCATCCCTGTAGTTGGCGGAATAAATTAAAATTTTGCAAGTTAATTACACAGGTTTGATAAAAGTAATACTTACGTTTAGACAAGTAACTAGACGACTGTCTTTGACGCCCATATCTTTCACGGGATCGATTAGGGGAAGTTGACCACCTAATTTGGACTTAGCTCGATGAATTCCCTCCCAGAAGTGGAGTCGCATCGAGGAGGGGAGTTTAGCGACTTTCTCAACCAAGGCAGCGGGGTCCTTGACGTTCGCACCGTCAATGCAGGAAAAATTAAGGCAGACCAAAGACATTTCACGTAGGCAGTCTAGCGGCACACTAGCAATGATGGCCGCATACACGGAGTCGATGGGCTTCTGGTTCTGTTCGGGTGCTTTTGAAATGCCTTTCAAAGATCGTCTGCGCTTCTTCGACCGCGGCTCCGCAGTTTCCACGATAGTTCCTTCATCTCGCACAAGTAGATCAAATTCACCAACGGGTTTGAAGGAGGTGAGAGCGGGAGGTGAAGGTTCGATGGTAACACAGTCAGGATTGGACGTTACAACACGGACAAGCACGTCAACCATCACAGTTTCTGATGTTATATTGCTGCTGCACAGGTCACGCTGTTTGGAACGGTGAACATTCAATACAATAGCCCAACCATAGTCAATACCATCGGAATCTTCAACCTATAGAAAGCAAATGGGGGTACGTTGTCATAAAAATTGATTTGAGACATTAAATTTCTATAAATTTGTATAAAATCTGCAGAGCTAAAATTTTCAATCCAAAATGTTGAAAAGAAGTGAAAGAACAACAGCTGCTAAGAAGACAATACAGCCACACA